TTAATTACTACCTCCCATATTCATAGCCACATTTGGCTGAATTTTGTACAAATGTTATTTTCTATTTTATTGGTACGATGTGGTCTGTTTGTTTGGTATATAAACTCAGTATGTTTGAAATATAATAATTCATACCTCAGAGGCTGTTCAGGACTTAACTGGCTGGTCTAGGCAGAAAGCAGGACCGACAAGTACTCTAGACTACTCGTACGGTTTCGGTGTGTCACTGTTCCAATCGATAATTCGCTGCTATCTGACTGGCGGTTTTATCACGTCATACATTACCAAGGCATTCGTTCAGCTACAAGTTATAAATATAAGTATGTTTCGACTCTGTAAGAAGTGATTTTTGAGCTCGTTATATGACATTATAATTGACTGATCGCTCAGTATTGACCAATAACACGTTTATCTAAACGGTCAAATGACGATCAAATGTTAATGATCAAACACAAAACCTAGGTTCTGAGTTTTTTTGTTCGTTACATTGAACCAACAGTTTAAATATCAAGATAGTACACCCAAAAGTTGAGTCGCTTAAGCTGACTGGAACTTACAAAACTGCTAGACAAAATCCGATTACCACTAAATGAATCAGACAAACGAGTAAGTGGTGACTACTCAGTAGTCACAACTGTTCAGTCGTAAATGTTCATTTTAACATATTTAATTTACCCTAAATGACATCGTGTATATTTTATTTTCGGTATATTTATTATTAATTGTTAGACCTAACTTTCATGTTAGTTGATACTTATCAACAAGATTAACCTGTGTTCTTGACGGAATAGAAGTTCCAAGTAAAATTCAAGCCTGATCGACACTCAGTGATCATTTAACAAAGATACTTATTGCTGACACGAGGTCAGTTAGAGCTGTATGACAATGTTTATCAATTAGATAACTTCATTATTACGATATATAAACCTAATAAATGTCACTAATATTCACTAATGACTTACTTACGTCTGTTATCCCTCGTAGAGAAGCATAGGCCGCACATCAGCATTCTCCATCCAACCCTGTGCCAAGCAATCCTTTCCATTTCTTTCCAGTTAACATTCATCCTTCTCATATCCACTTCTATTTCCCAGCGCAATGTGTTCTTTGTTCTTCCTCTTTTTCGCTTCCCTTCCGGATTCCAAGTTAGGATTTGCCTCGTGATGCAGTTTGATAATTTCCTCAATGTCTGTCCTATCCACTTCCAACGTCTTTTCCTAATTTCCTCATCACCTGGAAGCCATATTGTCTTCTCCGTACGTGAATGTTTCCATCTCTTCCAGAGTTTCCCCATCAAGTGTGATCGGGTTGGTGTTCTCCTTGTTGTATTTGAGAATCTTGCTTTCTCCTTTGTGTATGTTGAGGCCTATTGATAGAGAAGCTGCTGCTACAGTAGTTGTCTTCATCTGTATTTGGTGGTGTATATGAGATAGAAGGGCTAGATCATCAGAATTCCAAATCGTCTAATTGATCCTGACATTCACCCATGACGCTATTACTAATTTTATGTCAACTAGATACCATGATGACTATTACTTAGTTGTCAAAAATATTCTTTCACCTTGTTTGCTCATTACCAACTATGACATCAAAGCCTTCTTTAAATAACTTCATTTTAATAGTTGAATTGAGGAGTCGATTAAAGCTAGACAACCATGGTTAACGTAGAAGCATTGGACGGCCGTTTGGTCCTAGCATGGGACATAAATTAATTCTGACTATTGTATTAGAATTGTTGTTTCCTCTCCACGTCTTTCGTTTTTCTTCTATGTAATTTCAAAGTCGACTTCATTGAATAAAATATGGAAAGCGTAGTTCATGTTAATATAACTAATGATACCTCTATGCTATTTTATATCTGAGTAAAAAGTTTTGAAGTAGAACGGAATTATATTATTTTGTAAATCCTGGTCGATAGCATTCGATCTGCACTAAGCAGGACCTGACATACATGACATTGTTCACTAACAAGTGATCAATCAATTGTGAAATCTTTTGTTCATCTTGCTTTATTTGAATTGATCAAGGTATCGAAGTCTATGAAGTTTAAAAATGAAAACGCAATTTAGAAATCAAGTATTCCGAAATTCTGTAAAGAAGTCGATGTTTTCAATAAAATTCAATAATAATGATGGCTAGTTTAATGCACAAATTATCGACATAAATTACACTATCATATTCTTATATCATTTTCAACATAATTCATCAATTCTCAGTACATTGTTAGTTTGAATCTTCCCATTGATGTTTAGGACTGCAATTGGTCAATCTCTTATTGCCATATGTGCATACTATGCGTATTGCCTTGATATAGCCTTAATTCACAAGTATTAACATAATTCAAACAAACAATACTAAGTGTATTTAAACTTCACCCCATTGCACAAGCAAGTGTCTATCAGGATTCAGTAGCTGAGTGAATAACACGATGGCGTTTGAGACGAAAGGTACTGGTTTCGAGTCCCAGAGTGTACATCAACTCTGAAATGCAGGTACATCCAGCTGACGAGTCCCAAATAGGTCGAAACGCGCGTCGTGGATTCCACTGCTTGCCACTATCCATCTTTGCTTATTATTCATCAATGTTCAATGCAAATTTTCACAGTTGAACTCATGAGTTAATTGAAGCTAGACCACCATCGAAAACCTGGAAGCACTGGACGGCCGTTTCGTCCTACTACGGGACTTCTCAGCAGTGCGCATCCACGATCCCGCACTCGCGAGCTTCGAACCCAGGACCTACCAGTCTCGAGCCAGAGCCCTTAATACAAATTTGTTGACAGATTATTTCAGAGAGAGGTCTATCACTAAATTCTAAAATTTGAAGAATCCCTAAGTTGTGATTTAGAATAACATATATAAGCGAACAATATTGTTTTCGATTAGATCCTTATCGGGTTTCATTCTAATATACAGCAATATTTATATGCATTTACATCATTATTAAACCATTGAGGGAAGTTTATGAATCAATGATAACAGTGGAGTAGATTACATAGTAAGGAAAAAGTACATATCGGTAGTGTGATGACAGTTGTAATAGTTTTGACAAGAATAATAAAGGCTTGAATCAATGTTACATAATGGGAAATAGGTCAATGCTTAAAACAATATATATGCTGAGATAACATTCATAAAAATGATGAGACTAAGTAATAAGAGGTGTTCAGATAATTGGACCGTGAAATGTATATTTGAGGGGAAAAAAGTAATAGGAGGGGGTGAAAAGAAATGAACTAAGAGTATGGAAAAAAATAATAAATATAATCATTTATTAAGGCCAAGGGAGAGATAGAAAGGTTGCAAATTTCTTATGAACACGAAGACTTGGATTGTTGACTCGAATTCCTTTAACTTCTACCGTGTGTAAAAGATGGAAGCCCATATGGAACTACGATAAATAACTTTAAATGACTTATTTATGCCTACTACATGACTACTACCGATCAAGTATGATAGAACCGAGCTGCGCGTTGTCTTGACAGTACTTTTTCCTAAACACGAAGGAAGGTGTTCACTAACTCTTTGGCTCAGTTGTCCGGTAGTGCGCTCAATATAGCTTTCTTCTTAGGAGCAGCTGATTTTGTAGATACACATAGAAATGGCATAACCAGGTAGCTGATCCTTTAGTTGAGGAATTATTATAGATGAGGGCGAGCACAATAGACAGAGGTTGACTGCATTAAACGTTCTCTTCACTACTCTAGTCAGTGCATCATGTAGTACCTCACCTGATACAGTTCCATTAAATTGTAGCTTCAAGAAGAGAGGCTTTTTACTAGCCGTTGATGTTGCTATTTTCTTGTTTTATACATGCAAGTGTTAATTCAGGTAACCTCGTGAATAACCCATTTCAATCAACATATTATATATGAGCTCAAATTCCTTGTTTATTGTATCGACTGAGTATATCTTCCTAGCTCTAGTTACAAGACATCGAACAATGTTTCTCTTATCATGAAGGGGTACAAAGCTTAAGAAATGTGTATAATGACTTGATAAAGAACATTTCCTATACACATTTCTACTGATAGAACCATTTTCTTTATTGTTTAACAAAACGTCAAAGAAATCTAGTTTATTATCTAGTTCTTCACAAATAAATTTGATTGCTGATGTGTGAGCGAGAATGATAATGATTGGTTGTTCTGCTGAGTCAGACATATAGATAATGTGACGTTGTTATATGTGTTATATATCTCCCTATCCTGACTGTTATTGATTGGCTGTTCTTGTTGTTCGATTGTGTCGAAATATATTCAAGTTCTGGTCGGGCTAATCTCGTGTTCTTGATTTGAGTTGTGTTGAGGTCCTCTAGAATAGACACTGGATGAGAATCTAGTGTAGATATTCGTCCAAGGTAAATTAACTTGCCATATGCGTGTAAAAAGTGAAAGGACTGTTATAACAAGAAACCTCAGCGTTATAACAAGTGTCCTACGTTTATAACAGTTACTGGATTTCTTTTTGTGGTTATATATTTCTAATAGTTCTTCTTTTCCAATATTGTAATCAACAATATTGTTCACTTATATATGTTGTTCTACATTTTAAAATGACTACTATTTGAATTCACTTAGTATTGTTTGTTTACATCTTCCCATTGATGTTTAGGACAGCAACTATTCAGTCTCTTATCGGCATATGTGAATACTGTATGTGTTGCTTCGATATAGCCTTAATTCACAAGCATTATAAAAAAAGATGGATAGTGGCTAGCAGTGGAATCCAGCTGACTAGTCTCAAATAGGACGAAACGCGCGTCCTGGATTTCACTGCTAACCACTATTCATCTTTGCTTATAACTAACAGTTCGAGTTGTTTAAATAATATCATGTTGCATAACACTGATTTTAAAAAAAATTACTAATAATTTTTTTGAATTTTTATTTTTCGAACAATTTGATTGGTTAACATTAAGAAAGCAATTCAATGAACAATTTCAACCAATCAAATTAAAGCTTTCAGTAGAATAAAATCCCCTCATCATTAAATTCATTATTATTATCCTGTTGAAAATTACAAAAAAACAAATAATTAATTAATTAAACTATCATTGATTGATTACATAATCATTATTTGTGAGAACCTTTCAATATCCTATTATTATTGTTATGTTATGGATGAATCAATGGATGATATCCAAGATGATACTAATAATAATTTACCATTTACTAAAAGTGAAATAACATTTTTAGTGATTATATTTGCTATAGTAATTATATTAGCTGTAGTTGGTAATACAATTGTATGTATATTATTACGTTTTCATTATTGTAATATCATTCGATTCTTTACAAACAGATTAGGATGTAAAAAAAAATCTACATTATCTAAATCATTCAATCATCATCATCATCATCATCAACATCAACAACATCATCATCATCATAGCAATAATAATAATCAGATAGATCCATGGGTTGATGAATGTCCAAGTAGTCAACATGAATGTAGTTGTGGTAAACCATGTATTATACAAAATACACATCGTTACATAATATTCAAATCAATACATAAATCATATGAACAAAATACAAGTAAAAGAAATTATACTGGATCTATTACATTAGATAATAATCTACCAAATGTTAAACGTACAAATTTCACTATAAAACATAAATGGAAAGCTGATAATTATATAAAAGGAATGCGTACATCAAGTATAACAAGTTTATTTTTATTTAATTTAAGTTTAGCTGATATATTAATGGCTGTATTATGTATACCAATGAATGTTATTACAGAAATTATATATTTATGGTGGCCACTTGGTGAACCATTATGTAAAATTGTACCATATGCACAAGGTGTTAGTGTATTTGTTAGTGCATTAACTCATGTACTTATATCATGGGATCGTTTTATATTGGTTTATTTTCCATTAAAACCAAGAATGACACAACGTAAAGCTATATTATTATTATTAACTGTATGGTTATTAGCATTAATTATACCATTACCTGTACCTATTGTAAATAGAACAGTTCAAAGGGATAATGAAACATTTTGTATAGAAGATTGGAGTTTATTATTATCATCTATTAAAACAATCAATATTAATAATTTTACAAATTTAGATCAAATTAAAAATGAGATCACAATCTATATCAATGATCAACCTTATATATTACAAATTGATGTTATTTATACTATATTATTAATGATATTACAATATTTTTTACCATTAGGTATGATATGTGGTACATATATAGCTATTGGAATTAAAGTAATACATTTACAAACACCTGGTGAACGGAATAGTATAAGAGATCAGAAATTAACTAGAGCTAAACGTAAGGTAAATAATCAGTTTTGTTTTCTATAATTAACTTTTTTCTTTCTTTTTAATAAAACATTGAAATCATGAGTCAATTGAAGCTAGATAACCATCATGAAATATTTGGAAGCAATGGATGGACGTTTTTTTCCTATTATGGGATTTCTTAGCAGTGCGCCGTCCAGTGCTTCCATGTTTTCCATGATTGTCTAGCTTTAGTTGACTCAAGATTACAACTATATAAAATTACTAAAATCTCTACAAAGCCCATTTATGATAATGATTGTGTGCTCACTAGTGACTTGCTCCATGAGGTATTTCCTGGAGTTCTAGTCAGAAGCAGTAACCAGTGGAGTTCAACCAGATCTGTTATGAGATATCAACTCACGGAAGACATTTGTGAATGGTTGCTCAATTTCGTGGATTGATTGAAGTTAGACATTAACACCATCGGATGCATGCCAGTTCAGTGGTCTAGTGGTTAAGCACTTGCGCGTGAAACTGATATGCCCTGGGTTCGAATCTCAAGAGATGGGATCGTGAATGCGCTCTGCTGAGCAGTCCAACAATAGGATGAAACGGCTGTCCAGTGCTTCCAGGTTTTCCATGGTGGTCTAGCTTCAATCGATTCATGATGTCAACTATATAAAATTACTAAAATCTGCACAAAACCTACTTCTGGTAAAAATATAATTCAGTTTAAGGTAAAATAACTTTCTTAATGAAAGAACTTTTTAATCATTATATAATTGCATTCTTCAATGTACTTTCTCGTGCAAACTTTATTAATTTTATATTACTGATTACTAATATATAACTTATAGAAATAAGCATTTGATATACAGACATTAAAAAGTTGAATTTATTTGGCGATCTATGCTAGACTATTATTGAAAACCTTGATAAAGGATTGCACAGGATCATGGATCAATTAAAATCGGACATTAATATCAGTTGCATACCAACTTAATGATTTGGAGGTTAAAATTTTGCGTGTAAGACAGAGGGTTCGGAGTTGAAGTCCCGTCCGTGGATTGTGAGTAGTTTCATACTCCATGTTTTCAATGGTATTCTAGCTTATATCGACTCATGAATTCAACTGTTACAAAACTACAATCTTCACAATTCTTCATGTTGCTATAGACACTGATCATTATTTTCACTGCAACTAAGAAAAATGTATGTTTTATGGTTCTGAAGTAACAGTCTCCCTAACCAGATAATTTATGAAATAACTGTTATTATTATTATTATTAAAATGAAAACAACCCATCACAGAGAACAAAACTATACTTTATAAATCTAACAGTCTTCACATTTTCATGTTATTTATTCAACTAGCTGAGAAGTATTAATTAGTTTTCTTTGGTTATAATTTCCAAGGAGACTTTAGTTAGATAACTGACATTGAGAAACTGATAGAAAACGTTGTTAGCTTATTAAGGTTCGAACTTTAGACAACTGTACAATATTGAAATAGCCCAAATGATCACGCCGTCTGAGATAAAATTCTTTGGTTCTAAACTAGAATGTAATAAAAAACACTAATTCTTTCGGCAATACTATAACATTTGAACCAACTAATCACGTACATTATAACAAATTTCGGATTTTAGCCCGAAATTTAATCATCCATATAATTAAACAAAGTTTTGGCATTCTATCTGATATCAGTTCATGACGAAAACGCTAAATCTAATTTATAACCTTGATCATCAACTTTAAATCATAATTATTATTCCTAACACAGATTTATAACCCATATTTGTTCCTGTTTATTAGGTGGACACTCTGAAGGTCATTCTAACATTTCTTAAAGGTCATTCATAAATTATACTCTTACTATTCTTTCAACTATTGTATGGTTATTAAATTAAACTTACTTATTGACATGAATGTGTTTTCGTGTCATTTAGTTTTTATTTCATTTTTTTTGTAACTCTAATATAAATTGAATGGGAACAAATTACTTTATACTTCACGCATACTGAGCACTTAAGTTTGACCTAATTCTTTACAAAACAATATTTGGAAATGTACTTCAATGTCTACTCCCATTATTTTTGGCATACATAGATCTTGGTAATAGATACATATAATTATAAAGGTAATGATGAATAGTTGTTGTATAGAGTTTAAATTTATAACTAAGGTTTAGATGGATTCTGTGATAAAACCTTTTTTTTGTTGTTGTTCAGATGAACTGATTTTTTATTTAATCAATGATGGATTCTGTTACATAATGAAAAATAATCACCAAGTACGTATGTTGGTTTTGAATGTTGTGTTGATTAAGTGGATTGAAATTTGAATAATATGTTTTTGAATTAGTTTATCAAAAAGTACTCAAACTAATAATGATACTTTATAAGCAAAGATGGATAGTGGTTAGCAGTGGAATCCAAGACTCACGTTCCGTCTGATTTGGGACTAATTAGATGAATGTAAATGTATCTGATAGTTGATGTTCACTCTAGGACTCGAACCCAGTACCGTTCTCTTCAAACCCCATAGCGTTATCCACTCAGCTACTGAGTCCTAATGGCTACTTGCTTGTGCAATGGGTTGAAGTTTAAATTCACTTGGTATTGTTTGGATGAATCTTCCCATTGATCTTTCCGATTGCAATTGATCAGTCTCTCAATTGCAGTCCTAAAAATCAATGGGAAGATTCAAACGAACAATACCAAGTGAATTCATAGAATAATTCGTTCAGATTGTCTATCAAGCTTTGATGACTTTCTGCTAATCTGTGTCACAATAATAGTGAGATAACAGTCAGGTGCAAAATCTAACAATTGTCGATCCATAATGGATCTCTCTCTTACGCATAGCTTCACAACAGCCAAAATAGAGTTCAACACAGTAAGTAGATCAGATAATTATACAATCCAATTTTTACAACTCAACTCATAAAATAATATAGAATAAAATCGTGACCACACAATAACTTGGATAACAAATCGCGATATACTTATGACTACGAAATGACTAGAAGAAAACTGAGTTATATGTTTGTAATAATTTTAAAGTTGGTGATACATGAAAACTTGGTAACATTTTATGGATCACGAAAAATTTAACAAGTAGGGGAATACATGGATACAAGTACTTAGTTATTAGACAACAAACTTATAAACAATGACTTCAGATAATGCAGTCACAAATATTGAGTTTAGATTAATATTCACCTGATTATATGATAGTACTAACATTATAGTTCATTAATGTCAAGCTGATCAGCCTTATTTGAAACATGCATATTTGATATTCTTGGAAGACACAATCCTACTTCACTGCGACTTATGACTAAATGACAATATATATATATATATATATATATATATATATATATTATGAACATTTTACCGTAGAGCTATTCAACGCTCTAGATTAAGAAAGTATTTAAAATGATATTATGCACGCAATGAACATGGAGACGCAGTTGCGTTACAATTACACGAACATGTCCATTCTTCAAATTCATCTAATTTTAAAATAGAACGCAACCCTCTCCCTAATACTTCAAGTATATTGTGTTAGACTTAGGTCTTTATTCAAATCCCTCCTTTTTGTTACATTTCATGATAAGTAAATATTTGAATAAACCTACCAACTAATATCAATATTAGTGTAATGAACCAATACACAAATGGGGACAACCAAACATATTCGAATATAAAATTATAGAACATTTCAGCAAAATCTGACAACTATAAACTGAATACTTAATTTACAGAACGTCAATCAATTGTCTCAAACTTTACTGTTCTTTTTGCAACTATTAGTCAATCGTCTCAGACTTCATTTTTCATTCGTTTCTACACCAATCATTCTTTTTTCTCATTCTCTTTTTCTTTGATCTTCTTAACCCTTCTGCCAACAAGCATTTCACTTTCGATTAAGAATACATACTACTTATATCTATGGACATCAGTAGTATACACCATAGTAGTAAAATTAAACTGTAGCGTTGCTTTATTTTTTCCAAACGAAAATGAGGAGTCCCATAATAGGACGAAACGGCCGTTCAGTGTTTCCAGGTTTTCCATGGTGGTCTAGATTCAATTGACTCATGCTTTCAACTATGAAACATACTAAATCTCCACAAAACCCCTTCTGAAAATGAATTTGTAAACAATATATATTTACAAATCCAATTATATAGTAGATTGATACATTAAACAACTTGACAGATATTTGTTTATATTCAAACTTATTAGTAACCTGGTAATTGAAGGAACCCAATAAAATAAATGGTTCTGATTAACTTATACAATAACAAAAAATGTTTTAATTTAATAAAATTAACCCTTAAAAATAAAGATGGATAGTGGATAGAAGTGGAATCCAGTTTGACGCGAGTTTCGTCCTATTCGGGACTCGTCAGATGGATGCACCTTCACCAATGAAGAAAAAAAGTAACAACAACAACAACCAAACTTATCAATCACTTACATAGATACACAAAAGTATAATAACCCATTTCATATCTATGATATCAGGGTTCTAATAGTTTAATATAGAAATTTCAACCTCACTCTTATATACAATGATTTATATAGAACTATATGTATGTATCATTGTAAAGGCAAAATAGGAAGAAAAAAAAGGATGTAACTTTACACAACTCTATACAATTATCAGAGATTATCATTCCTTGTACTATGTATGTATGTATAATCCATCCAGTTGTTAATTTGCAGTTTCTTAGATAAAACCTGTCAGTGATATACTGTCATTTTGAAATCCTTTAGAGAATTATAAGGATTTATGTGTGTGAGTGTGTGTGTGTGCTTGTGTGTGCGTTTGTGTGTACTTACAATGAGATGTTACTTTCAGAAAAGTAGATTGTTTGAAAACAGTATGTGTTTATTGTCTGTCAATGTATGAATTGGCTATCAGTGGAATTCAAACGGCAAGTTTCATCTTACTGAAGACTTTTCATATGGATATACTTAAATTTTAGTGTTAATGCAAACATGGTAACTAAAACACGATAGCCTTTAGTTCGAATGCTT